CGCGGGGCCGGGCAGGTGGGAGCTCGGGCAGGAGCAGCCCTCACACTCCCCGGGCCCGCAGCCCTGCGGCCCCCCGGCCGCCCCGGGTCTCCAGCCCGAGTCCAGAGCTGGGCGCCACGCCGGCCAGCGTCTTCCGCACGCCCTTGCAGCTGGAACCGCAGCATGAAGAGCAGCTGTTCCGGCGCCTGGAAGAAGAGTTCCTGGCCAACGCCCGGGCCCTTGAGGCTATTGCTGGGGGCGCCCCCAGTGGACCCGCCCCTGACCCAGCCCGGGCCCCGGACGCTCCAGGCCCTGACTCGGCCTACTGTTCCTCCAGCTCCTCCTCTTCGTCCCTCTGCGTCCCAGATGCATCTGGGAGTCACCTGGCTGGCCCTGAGCCCCCAAGGACCTGGGCACGGGGCCGGATGGACACACAGCCAGACGGGAAACCCTCGCGAATTCCCACGCCTCGGGGCCCCCGCCGCCCATCCGAACCCACGGTACCCGGGGCCTGGCGTGCCCTGCGCTCGGTCAGCCCACGGGTGGAGCCGGATTCCTGGATGTGACGGACCAGCCCAGCTGCCTCCAGGCCCCGTTCCTCCTCTTCCTTTTCCTTTGTGGCCTTAACCCCTTCGCATCAGGGAACACCCACCCCCCGCACCCCTCGGGTACCAGACCTCATGGGACCAGACCCCTTACATGGCACAATGGGACCTCTGCTGTACATTCCGATCGGGGGATGAGCATCGCTATTTAATTACTAATATTATTGAATGCCTTAGAGGAGCCCAACGAGGACCCTCCTGAGGTCCTGTGGCCCTGCAGAGCCTGACAGTAAAGTTTTGTTCCGGCCACTGGTGTCTGTTTCATCCTTGGGGCCGTCACACCCTCGTGTGATGCTGGGATTCTGGAGTTAACTCCCGGGGCCAAGCCTGGCAACTCCTTTTCTAGACGTAAAACGACCCTGCCCATCCCAGAAACGCCAGGTGCACTTGCAACGCTTCCCTCTTTATTATCCCCGGAAGGTGAGGCTCCCGGAGCGGCCCGCGAGCTTCCAACCAGATTCACAGTCAAGTTCCTCGGGCTCGCGAACGACTCAATGATACGCAGAAGGTACTGATCTTGTCTGATGAGGCTTGGGGCCTGTCTGGGTCCAATTGAAATTCAAAGAAAGGAAACTGGGTGGGAGCTCTCCTCATCCAATCAGGGAGGAGACTGTCCTGTCCAATCCGAAGGAAGCTGGGCCAGCTCCTCCAATCCAGGCCCCTGGTTGGTCCAGTCAAAGGGTCCGGCTCCCCCAGCAACTTCGCGGTCCGCTTTGGTCACATGAGGCTGCAGTGAGCGGGGTGCAGCGCCCCCTGCAGGCGCAGGGCGCTGCCAGAGCCACCCAAATAAGCCACTCCTGGATTCCTGACTCTCAGATACTGTGTGAGATAATAAATGTGTGCTGTTTTAAGATAAGTTTTAGGATAGTTTGTTACAGAGAAATAGATCACTAAGACTCATAGGGAGTAAATTTACATAAAGAAGAATACAGATACCTAGAGCACTCCAATATATCGATGTTGGGAAGGCCTGCGGGGCCAGAGAGCCATGAGGGCGGCGGTGCCGGGGGCCCCACGCCAGAGAATTCCCCCAGTGGGGACGTACACTCAGGAGCACCCTCTCCTGCGGCCAGAAACCCCCAAGCGAACACCAGACCCGTGTGCGCCAAAGACCTTCCCATGCAAGGACGCAGGCCCAAGACAGCGAAAGGGCCGAACCGCTCCCCGGGGGCAAAGCCAGGCCCGACGGGCAAAAGCGTGCCTCCTTCCCCTCCCCACCGGCCGTGCCCTCACCTGGTCTCCGCAATTCGCTGCCGCAGGGCCTTCACGTAGTCGAAGCTGTCGGGGCTGCAGATGTCGTAGACCAGCACGAAGGCGTCCGTGTCCTGCATGCTCCAGTCCTTCGGGCCCGGCCACTCCTGGGGGCGGGAGGCCGGGGTGGGCCGGGCCGTTTCCCCCTGTCCTGTGCCCTGACTTCTGCGGGGGGCGTCTTGACACTAACCCACAGGTCACGCTCACCCTCCTCTGTGCGCCCTGGGCCTGACTGTCCCCGTGGCCAACGCTGCTTGAAGCTGGTCGGCCACCAGCCCTCCCTCACCCCGGTCTCCTCTCCGCCTGCCTTCTAGTCCCTTCCTCGTCCTTCCAGCCTGTAACCCGGCCAGGCGCCTCCCCTCGGCTTGGCCCAATGAGGCTCCGGGGCAGCCGTCTTCCCGCCCCGAAAGCGAACTGCAAAGCCCGTGGCCTGGCCTGGGCAGCTGCAAACGGTTAGGCCTCGAGGACTAACACGCCCTCATTTGCACCTGGGATGCTGTTGTCCCTTCACCGTCCGGTGGGTTCAGCCCAGAGGCCGCCCTCCCTCCCGGAAACCCGGCCTGCTCCTGCCTCCTCCCCGCTCCGAGGACTCAGTCTGCTCTGGACTTTCCACAGATGACTACACGAGTCTTTGCTCAGGTCACAGACGTGAGAGAGCAGAGAATGGCACTCCCTCCCCGAAAGGGCACCCCTGCATCTGGCCCCAACTGTCCCTCGGCGGCTCCGTTCAAGGCCCTGAACACAGGATGCTCCACCCGCACTGAGCCAGACCCCCTGGTGGAGGCGGCACGGACGGAGGGACAGACGGAGGCACTTTGCACGTCGCCCGGTCTCGGCCCGGGGTCCGGGCTTTTGCGCCTCAGGCCAGCGAGAAGGTGGGACACACAACACGGGGCACACTTTCATCCTTCAACCCACGGGCACCGTGTGCACCCTCATGTGCACAGACCCCCCCCCCCCC